CATGGTCATGAAAGTAATGCGGATGCATACAATCAGACAAACAACATAGTTAGTTTCATGAATGAAATGAAAGTGATGCTGATGCATAACATTACAAAAAATAATACACAAAGTTAAGCAATCAAAATGATTAGATAAACACCTTTTTTGTGTCCTAATTTCAGGGTATATCTATCATTGGGTAGAAAGGGCTCTATCCTAGGTGTAGGCACTCTTAAGGTTCACTACATGTGGTTTTAAAGGTCAGAGTCTAAAGGTACTCAAATTGCTCCTTACATCCTTGTCCATCACAGACTAGTAAGGCACCCTAATCCTCACCTATTACAGGCTACAAGTGAAAAAGGTTCAATTTGAGTGGGAGTATTTCGCTAGCCACTGCGGAGGTATTAGACCTCACGAAAGCAATAGGTACTTTACTCCCTCATAGAGGGACAGAGCTCGGGTGTAGAGCTCATGTTATGCACATGCACATGAATGACATAATTAACAAAGTAAATAAACATGAATGAACAATAACATATATATACAAAAATGGTTCAATTTTATTTGGCTTTTGGATAACACAAATTATTTGCTGGCCTGACTCTCAAAGTCCCCAGCGGAGTCGCCAAGCTGTCATAACGTCTAGATCCGGGGATCTATCGCTAGACATTGACTTTCAGGGAGTCGCCACCAATCTTTTTTTTTATCTAGGTGCGATTGGCCACCTATAGAATCTGTCCTTTTAGGGAACACCTAAGTTTAAGGGCCCCAAAAAGAATAGGTTCGGGTCTACAAACCAGAACAGGGTTCGGGAGTTCGGTTACGTGTGAGGAAGGTTATAGCACCCTCACAACGCCCATCAAAAGATGGTACCAGCTGAAATTTATGTTATCCAAAAGCCTTAAAATTTTACCAAGTAATTAATTATTGGAAACTTTTCTCAATTGACTCTAATACTTTTAGCAGAAAATTGAGAAAATTCCCTCACCTCAAGAGTATGCAAGAAAAACTACTGTTTCACTTACAGAGGCTCCGTCGTCGGATTATTTAAAGAAAAAAACAAAATCAAAATTAAGATAGAAAGGAAGGAAAGAATGATTTTTTTTTTAGGGAAAATTGATACTTTCAACTTTTCCCCAAAAATATTTTTTGAAAATTTATTTCTAAGGAAAATTGATACTTTCAACTTTTCCCCAAAAATATTTTTTTTTTGAAATTTTGATTTTCAAGGAAAATTGATACTTTCAACTTTTCCCCAAAAATACTTTTTTTTTGGAAATTTATTTTTCTTTTAAGGAAAATTGATACTTTCAACTTTTCCCTAAAAATATTTTTTTTTGGAAATTTATTTCTAAGGAAAATTGATACTTTCAATTTTTCCCTAAAAATATTTTTTGGAAATTTATTCTTAAGGAAAATTGATACTTTCAACTTTTCCCTAAAAATATTTTTTTTTGAAATTTTTTCTGAGGAAAATTGATACTTTCAACTTTTCCCTAAAAATATTTTATTTTGGAAATTTATTTCTAAGGAAAATTGATACTTTCAACTTTTCCCTAAAAATATTTTATTTTGGAAATTTATTTTTCTTTTAAGGAAAATTGATACTTTCAACTTTTCCCCAAAAATATTTTTTGGAAATTTATTTCTAAGAAAAATTGATACTTTCAACTTTTCCCTAAAAATATATTTTTTTAGAATTTTTTTATTTTTATTTAAAGAAAATAAAATAATAAAAAATAAATAAAAAGAATATTACATAAACCTAATCTAATAAATAAAAAATAAAATAAACAAATAAACAAAGAAATAAAAAAATTCAAAAAAAAAAAAAAAACCTGGAGCGGCTCGGCTCGGAGGGGGGTTGGCACGCGCGGGTCAGAAAGCGGGTCGACGCCCGGGTCGGGTCGGGTTCGGCAAAACGCGCGGATCCTCTGGGTTACTTAAGGCCAAAACGACGTCGTTTTGGGAGGGTATAAAAGGCACCTTCCTCCGTTTTTCAGCAGAACGCTCTTCCCCCTCTCTCTCTCTTCTTCCTTTTTCTCTCCCTTCTCTCTAGAAACTGAAGAACACCGGTGTCGGATTCTGGGAAAGTCGCCGGAATCTGGAAATTTCGCCGGAATTTGGCCGAAAGTCGGCCGGTTTCTGGGAATATTCGTCGGTTTCTGGGATTCCTCGCCGGAAACTGGGCGGGTGGCCGGAAACTTCAAAATTGGCCGGAATTGTCGCCGGAAAATTCAAACTTGGCCGGAAAAATTAACCGGAATCTGGAATTTCTAGAAATTCCCAGAAAAAAAAAATTCGAAAAATTCCCAAAAAATTCCCGATGATTCCTAGAACCCTCCTAAACCTTTCCTTAGCCTTCTACACTCTTCTATTCGCCTTTTCCCCTCAAATCAGTAGCTCAGGCTCACTGTTTTCTGTGTTTTTCTCTGTTCCAGGGGGATCCCTTTTATAGGGGTTGATCAGGAGTTCCTGATCAATCCCAATTCCTCCTTGGACGGGAATTCAGTCTTTGAATCCAACTGGACTCTTCTGATTGAATTCCCCTCCAGAGTGGGATTCTTCAACTTTGAATCTTAGCCATCCAGAATTAAAATCAAAATAAATAAATAAAAATACTAGATAATCAAAAGATATGATAGTATAAAAATAAAAAATAATATCAGATAATTCAGAAAAAAAAATCAGATAAAATTAACAGATAATAAAAAAATAACATAAGATAAACCCAAAATATATTACAAAAAAAAAAAAAATAATAATAATAAAATATATAACTATATACATACAATACATATAAAATCTAATCTAAATAAAATAAATACACAAAGATATACATAATAATAATAATAATAAAATACATAAAATACAAAAGAAGAAAAAAAAAAGGAAAAAAAATACAGGATTGAAATGGGCCTTACCCCTTTGGGCCAGGCCCAATTGATCTGGGCCCGGACCCAATTGGGTGTCTACAAATACTATATTTAAAATTTTTGAAATTTATATATTATATTAAATTTTTCACTAATAGACATTAATCTTAAAAAAAGATAAGGATGTTAAATTAGACACTGCTCAGAGCAGCGGGTAGGGCACTTGGATTGGGCCATAATCATTTCACTTTTACTCAAGGAGGTTAGCGTCCAAACTAATCTATTAAATTTAGACTTCTCATCATCTCAAGGATTTGGTGTTGGAATCTTTTGTCACAACACAAAATGGAGTAAAAAGATCGAATATGGGTTGCCAACCCACTTGAATGGGATCTATAACGTAGCTTCCCCTCTCTGTACCAATTAAAACCTCAGGCACCCACATACACTTCCAGAACAAATACAAAATTTTTAGACCAAATCTTGAGTTAATGTATTCTATATAATTAAATCCTATCCTTCTTCTTTTTATGCATTTTGTGGTGCACCCTCTAATTAATCATCATTTTCTTTCCACTATGTATACATATACATACATACATATATATATATATATATATAATTCATAGGCATCCGAATCAGTTTCCAATTGTTATTAAGAGCTAACTCTCCATGGATTATTTCTCAAACCCTCGAGTCAATTTTCCCAATGGTCTAACGAAATTGAAAACGAACATACATGTGCAGGTTAATGTAAAGTAATAAGATTGACTTTGGGACATCGAGAATCTCTTGAAGGGAAATGACTTACGAAATGTAGATTAGGCACTGCTGCATACGTTTCTTTATTCTTGTCACTCAGATTTCTGTCATAACGTGTAGAGGCATGAAGCACTGGATTCTTTAGTGACTACTCTCCTTTTTCTCACCACCCTGCTGTGACATTGCTATCAGAACCTGATTAAAGCTTCTTCCACTCTGTTCTGCTTGTGGCTTTATAAAACTATTCGTTATTTCTTTTTAGTTCTAACAATACAATTGTAGGCCATTTGATTTTGGTTTTCTGTTTAAATGAACATGTCACACATGCATCCACGGGAGAACCTTAGTAAAATTCTTAGATATATACGGACGCAACGTGCCGCTGCCTGGAAACTATAGGCAAATAATAGCATTTTCACCTCTATTATTATTCTTATTCTGAAGCACCACGTGATACAGGTGCATGGAGGAAGAATATTTCTTCATTATCCTTCATCAGCATCAACAAATGAAAGAATTTCTGTGCCTTAAATATACCAAAATGTATGGGCCTAAGACCCATTTCTTTGGAGCTGAAAAGAGGTGCAGTAGCAGACTCCTCGTATCTGAATTTGGCCCATAAGAACAACCTTGAAGCTCGCGATAACTAAAGGTTTTATGGTGCAACTCGTGAAATTTGGATCCTGACTCAGCCCACAATCTTAGATCCAACTTAACACTACAAAACTCGATTATCTTATATTATCAAATGCAAGTGAAATTGAAATTATTTCTATGGGCTAAAAAAATAAGCCACATAGACTACCCCACCTGTCATTACCATGACGCGCCAGGTGTGGTCAGTTCTCGTGCTTCTCCCAGTACAGACTTTTCCAATTTCTGAAGTTTCAGAAAATTCCAATTGCGAAAGCAGAGTATCAAAATAGTAATTTGAAATGAGCTCCATGGCTTCACGCTTTATCCATTCCAGACTCTCACTCTCTTAAACTCTAGTAAGTTTATATTCTTTTTTTCTGCTTCTTGATCCGCATGTGTTCTGTTACGATAATATTTTTCAACTAGACATCAATTTCGATCATTTATGAATGTCTTTTATGTTGTTAGTATACAATCTTTCTTAAATTTTTTTTTCTTGGGTTGCATCTTTTGAATCTGAATTCCTCTTAAATGGGGCTAAAATTAAAGCAAAATACTCTTGTTTGTGGAAATGAAAGGTTTGATTTTTATTCTTATTATTGGCCCATATTGACTTTGTGACCTTCTCTTTGTAATAAACAGTGGAATGGGTGGGTTCAAGAATGGGAAGATTTCTTTAAACAGGTCTAACAAGGCTGATGAGCCTTTTAAAGTTGAAGAAGCAGATGTAGAGTACCTCCTCCTCACTCTAACAAGGTGTGTGTTAGACTATTGTCAATTTAGTAATGTTGGATTGTATCATTTTATGCCTTCAATTCAACTTATTTATTGTTTGTTTCAGCTAGTTGTGTTGGGTGGAATCGAAATGGGGAATTAGAGTCTAAGAGAATTAATGACTAAAAATATCCATTAAGCATAGTCTAAAAAAAAAAAACCAATCGATTGATTTGATTCGTTTCAATTCATTGATTTAATCCAGTCCGGTAGAAATATCAGAAAAAAGATGGGAGTGCCTTTTTCGCAAACATGAATAGATATATATGGTATATGTTTATCGTATTATATTATTTATTTTTAACAGCCCCCTCACAAAAAAATTTCTTTTGTTGGCTCCCATATCTGCAGGGAAGCTTTGAATCGTGGTCTGGTTGTTGCCAGCCTCGGCAGGTATTTCAATTTTCTTAAAGTTCTTGCTACAAATGACTGTTTTCCCGAATTCCTTTATACAGTTTATTTCAAGTTAAGCAATATTTCTCATGTGGGTCTGGTTTAGTAACGAAGCATGAACTGACTGTGTTTACTACCATGTGGTCTGCAATAAAGTAAAGAACATAAGAAACTTCTGATTGTTAGACTGCAATCTGTTCAGAATTAGATGTTCAAATATCATGGGAAGTGTCCAGTCTGTTAACAGTAGAGACATCTAACTATGTATTATTTTGCCTCAAATAAGCATCCGATTTCAGTTGTTATTCACAAATTTATATTGTAAAGGTTGATTATTCAGTTTTCCCTCTGATATGCTTCCTGTTCTCTTTACAAATATCTCCATCATTCTGCAGATGCTTTGTAGTATGGTGTTCAATTTTAAAACCAAAGGGCATATCCTACGTTATCGGTTTGTGAATATGCCTAATATTTTTATGTTGTGCTCTATCCCCTTTCCCTTTTAACTAATTATTTGTATTTATTCAACTCCTTAACTTGGTTTCTTCTTTCTATTAGGTCTGGCGGGTCATCTTTACATGACTCTTTGGTTAAAACTGTGACATAGCATCGAGGTTTCTTTTCTTTATTTGCTTGTCATGATCTTATCGGTGGCATGTTGTAATGTGTCTAACATGTTTTTGTCATTCCGGGAAACCTTCTTTCATCTGATTCATGGAAGGAAGCTCTGAAAGGAGTGACATCTGTTGTATGTAGTCCTTTAACTCTGCTGCTAAATTACCAACCAAAAATCAAATCTCAGCTAAATTTACACAGACAGCCATTCACAATTTAAATGTGACATTCATTTTAAAATTTCCTGGTTTACTTAAGATTTAATTTGAAGCTTATTTTCTTCTTTAATTGTATATTTTTCCTGCTAATTAATTTTAATTTTCTAGATTTCTTGTGTTGGTGGTTTTGGATCTAATTCTTATATGTATAAGATTAATGGGACTGCAAACATCAATGCAATCAGAGCTGCCGAAGAGAAAGATATAAATAATTGATGTGTCATTTATCGATTAGGGGAAGCTGGTGTACTGATGGAAAAATATCTTCATTTTCTTGGAATTCTCCCTTTCCAAAAGAAGAAAGAAAGGAAAAGGGATAAGAAATGGCAAAACTTCAAAGTCTATCAGCATTTTTATTTTCCTCTTGTCCTTTACCACTAGTAACATTAAATATGGACTTTTTCCTTATTTCCTTTTGGATTGACCCTTTAAGGCTGTGCTTGATTGAGTGGAAAAGTGGAAGGGTGGGTAGGGGAGAATGGAAAAGTGGAAGGAAAATAAATCTTGAGTGTGCTTGGTAGGAAAAAAAAGTGAGAGGAAAGAAAGTAGGAAAGATTGCCATTTTCTACTCTTATATACAAATACTAATCATTCCAAATTGGAAAGAAAAGAGGAGAGAAAATGAAAAGGTGTGGGTAATATTGCATATTTACAAGATTGTCCGTCATTTTAAAATTTTTCTTTTTTATCTTAATTTTAAAAAGGCTAGAATGGTAAAAGTATATATTTTTACTTTTTTTCTTTTCATTTTTAATACTACCAAGCAATGGATGGAAAGAAAACTACATTTTCTTTTAATATTTCCATCTTTTCAACCAAGCACACCAATGAAAAGAAAAAAAAAATCTTTTTTTCCATCTTTTCACTTTTCTTGTGTTCCAATTTTCTATCTTTTCATTTTTCCATCCACCATACCAAGCAATGCCTAAATGTGCTTGCAGGTGTGAAAAGATATGTTTATATCTCTGCTGCTGACTTTGGCTTGGTAAACTATTTATTGCAGGGATATTATGAGGGGAAGGTACTTTTCTCTTTGCCATTGGTTCCTTGATTTCCGTTTATTCAGATGTCTTTGCTGGACTATTTGTTGTTGTCTGTGTTTGTGCTTAACATTCTACACAAGTTATTATTGCTGTTGGTCAGCATGTACATTTGAACTATTGATTTTGGTGTGTAGGTGGAATAATGGCTCTATAAGTTTTATGCTTATTATCTGCTCTCTCTCATGGAAAATTCTCTTTTTCTTGTCTTGTTTGGTGCAGAGAGTTACTGACCAAATTTCCTTAGGGAGGTGATTTTTCTTATTGGCTGAAATTTGTGCAATGTTCTGCACCTAGCATTTACATTGCTTCTTATTCGCTCGCTTATTGCTAATGGTTAGCTCTAGTAATTTTAGTTTGGATGGTAGTCTTGCTAGTAACATGAAATTATCACTATCTTTTATCGGACCAGCAGATACTAAAAAATTAGTTATGGTTCTTTACATCACTAAAGGATTTCACTTTTTCTATTTCAGGAGTGATTTTGAGGCCTGGCTTCATTTGTGGGACTCGCAGTGTTGGAAGAGTGAAGTTAACTCTAGGTGTTGTTGGTTCGCCAATGGAAATGGTAAATACCTGTTTTCGAACCTTTTTCTTTTTGTTTTTTCTTGGGTATGTAGTTTCCTGACCAAATTGGAAATTTTGAAGCAAAATGCATGCGTCCAATGATCCATTCTAGTGGGAGTTGGTGATAGTAGTCAGCATTTGATGCGCTTGACAGCATTCAATATGTGAAGAAGAAAAATTATAACATCACAAATTAAATGAGAAGAAACTTGCACAATGGAGGAAATGGTTCTGTTCCTAGCTGAACTGTGTTCATGGAACCTTGTCTCATAAGTCATTGACTAAGCTTCTTCATTCTCTGCAGGTTCTCCAACATGCAAAACCATTGAACCAGTTACCACTTGTTGGCCCACTGTTCACTCCTCCTGTTAATGTTACTTCCGTCGCCAAGGTTGCAGTGAGAGCGGCAACTGATCCTGTTTTCCCCCCAGGCATCGTAGACTTCTATGGAATACAACGTTTTAGCTAGCAAATGTCAAGATAGATTAGTTGAACTTGAATTTTTGCGTTGTTTCCTATTGTTCAAAAGTATAGAGCTGTCAATATCAAGCGGGTAAAGGTGCATCTGGCTGATTGTAAGTTCTTATAATGGTTGCTGTTGGAGTTGTGATAAGACAGTGAACTGAATAAGGTCATTAGTTCAGTCTGACGCAATAAAAATTTCCAAGAATGCTTGAGACATTTTGTTCTGCCTCTTGGAATGGTCAGCCATTAGTAGTAGTAAATTAGTGGGCTTGGGCCCATTGCCGTTGTAGTGTCTAGTGTCAACTCCCACATGACGACCCAAGATTAAAAAGAGCGAGCCACGTGACATGAGTCGGCCCTGTAAAATGCTTCATTAACATAAGAAGCAGTTTTCCATATAGCGGAAGCAGCGAAAGAAGAAGAAAGAGTAAGTTTGGGAAAGAGCAAAGGGAAATAGAAAATGAATCATAACCCACAATCCAGCGATGGGAAGCATGATGACGACTCTGCTCTCTCCGATTTCCTCGGCTCTCTCATGGATTATACTCCCACTGTAACTTTCTATTTTTCCCTTTTTATCATCATTCTTTTTTCTTCAAAAAAAAAATAATAATAAAGAAACCCTAAGGCGTGAATTTCTCTAATAATTATATACTAAACCCACGTTTCTAACAAGTTTTGAACCTTCATTGTGAATGACTTGTGGCAGATACCCGACGAATTGGTCGAACATTACTTGGCCAAGAGTGGTTTTCAATGTCCCGATGTTCGATTGTAGGTATTTCTCCCTTTTTTGTTTAATTTTCCGTCAAATTTCTTTTTATCCTCTGTTTAGCTGCCCGGACGGAAATTGAAGAAAATAAATTCAATTCTTTGAATATTTACTTAACCTTTACTGCTTTGGTTGGTTTAAGATAATAAAGTCTGAAATTTTATTTTACTTTACACGAATAGCTCTGCCTAGGGTTGCTTATCTTTCTTTTAGTTGGTTCTAGGGTTCCGAATTTTGGAAAATTTAGTCTTTGAAATTAATTATTGTTTCTCCAAGTGGCACGTAACAGAATTTAATTATTATCTACTTTATGACGAAAATGAGGCATATATATTCTATACATGCTATTAATTTCCTATATTCCACAATGAAAAAAAAAAAAAAAAACAGCTTTGTCTTTTATATGATAGGTTGTTTATTTCTGAATTCTTTTGCTTGCCTTGCTATGTCGAAAAAGAGGGGTGGGGAGTTGGGCTGGAGATTTCATTATGGTTGAACATGTTTGACTTTTATTGTGCATTTACAGAATAAGGCTTGTAGCTGTTGCCACACAGAAGTTCGTTGCGGAGGTTGCAAGTGATGCACTTCAGTATGATACCAAAAACTTTTAACTTTTCTCCCTCTGTGTGTGTGTGTGTATGTTTTTCAAGAACGAATAAAATTATGTTACAGTAATTTCAAAACTGTATAAGTTATAATGATTTCTTAGAAGATGTGAAATACCTAGGACTCTAAGGAGAAGTACTAAGTTTTAATTTTCTTAATTTATGTTCATTTATCTATCAGTTATTTCTTTAGGTGCAAGGGAAATATTAAAAAAATGGGTAAACTTTTAAGTAGTTTCAGTTTGGATTTGCTCAAGTTTAAGTTAGTAAGGTTGCTTGTTTACTCCTAATGTAGGCATTGCAAGGCAAGGCAGGCTGCAGTCGTCAAGGACAAAAGGGACAAGCAGCAAAAGGTGATCTATCTATGTTTGTTTTTAAAGTTTCCTGATCCCTTTCGGCATGTCTGACCCTCCTTTTGGATCAGGATAAACGCCTAATCTTGACAATGGATGATCTCTCAAAGTCATTGCGTGAGGTAGGCATTGAAATTTCTATATTGCCCCTCTTTCTGAAAGCCAAGTGCAGGAAATTCTAGTATGTTTTATAGCATCATGTTTTAGTGTCTATCACCAAATAGCTCATTGAAGGGAAATTCATTTCTCATTACTATTAATTCTGGTTACTAATGTATTCTGCATTTCTTATGAGAAATCAACATGCTGAGAAAGAATGCTATTACGAGCAATTGATCACTGATGTTTTGTTTTTGCATTGAAGCTTCTTTGAAGTAGTTAAGATTTGAAATATTTTTGGTTAGCGTCTCTATTCAGCACTCAGGCTGTAGCTACTATGGACAAAGGTTGTCACATGTAGCTTAGGACAGGGTATGTAGACAATATGCATGCAAATGGTCGTTCTCAGTGAGGCATTTTTGTGTCACATGAATGGTTTTTTGATTGATTTAATCCTATTGGAGTTAATCCAACTATTTATCTAGGAAATAAATTTACTTTTTATCTGTGGATGCACTGACATAGACTGTGCAAATATGATCCCTGTTTAACCTCTATAAGAGCTGATTGTTTTAATTCATTAGGAAGAGAGGTTTAAGCAGAAGCAAGGCATATATTTGTTTTACAACAAAACATTGTCAAAATTTTGATGAGAAATGCATGTTTTAGCTGCTTAGGCATATGCAGAATATTCTGCGATCTAAATGGGTTCATTTCCTAGAGAATTACAAGAATATGTCCAGTCAATTTTTATTTGTTGAAGCCTTTTGCTGACTTGTTTAAATGTTTAAAGATTGGTCATGCCTTTTGCTTATGTTTTCATTGACTAAGAGTATGAATTTTTCTCATCATTTTTCAATTTTGTATCTAGAAATAATTGCTTTGTGGTGTTTGAATGAGCAGTATGGAGTGAACGTGAAGCACCAGGAGTATTTTGCTGATAGCCCGTCAACTGGAATGGATCCTGCTTCTAGAGATGAGTAGCTGCAGTTGGATTGGACCATGTTAGTACTTGTTAGATTGTATTAGTTGATCTACATGTGTATCTTTGTCATGTTTCTGTTAATGCTACTATAGCATGCTGCTCAGTTTTTTTCCGCTTAATATCTGTTCAGTGTTGGATTTTGAAGATGATTATTATTATGTAGCTGAGTATTAGTTATTTTGTCCAAAATATGATCATGACAAGCAAGAAGCCATGCTTGAGTTTTGGCTAAATGCTCAAAATTAGGATCAAACGTTTAAGTGGTTGTTCAATTTAGGATCACAAATTTTAATTCGTATAAATAAAGATCAAACGTTATCTATTTGTAACAATGTAAGATTTATTTTAATGATAAAAGGAATGTGTATCTTACATGTTGTTGAATTATCCATGTGTAAAAGTTATTACAGACAAAATATGACGGAAAATAGGATGTGGAATTAATTTATCGACGTGTATCGACAACTTCAGCTTATTATGGTTGTTTTTTAAGTTTATTTTATTTTTGTGATTTTTTTTTTTATCGTTTTTATCTGTGAGATAATATTAGCTGAGGGTTTTCTTTTCGTTTTTTTCGTTTTCATCATAAATTGAGAAATTTTTTTTGTTGAAATAACATCTAAACACTATCTTTTTCAAATATTAGTTCATCGAGCAATGTAAATTTAAGGTTTGTATAAATTTTGGATTTTTCTTATGCTTTGATTTTCTCTGAATTTGTTTTTCAAAATATTAAAATTATAGAGTTTTTAAAGAAGAGTTCTATGTATAAGTTAATTTTAGCTAGTTACCTTATAGAATAGGACTTTAAAAGAGAGCTTATTTTTTTTATTGTAATATGAAGGTAATTAGGTATATTTCATAGACGAATAGCAATCATGGTAGAATATAGCTTTTGATGAATTGTTTGTAAATATATTTGATTTTTGTTTGTTTATATTCATTTATTAAATTTAACAAACGATCTTAAACATTATTTGTACATTCGTTTTTTAAATGAATTGAACATGAACAATTATCTGTTCGTTCATTTATGTTCACAAACAAGCTCATTTAAGTTTGTTTAGGCTCGTTTCAAATTTGACTTAACTAAAAAATTATGAAATAATCGTTATTATTTTGAAAAGTATGTTTGTAAATAAATGCAAGTCAGTTGTAAGTTTTTGCTAATAAAAAAATTAGTTTATATATGACGTTTGCATGAAAAACATTTTCAATAATTTCTTATAAAAAGTTGAATGGGGTTATTTAAGGTGTTTTTGGTTAAAAACATCTTAAATAATTTCTTTCCATTTTTTTGAAGATTATTCAAGGCATTTTCGTTTAGAAATCACATTGAATGATCCCTTACAAAAAATTTAATAGTATTATTCAATGCATTTTTAACCAAAAATACTTTGAAAGAGATTATTTTAGGTGTTTTTAGCAAAAAAAGTCTTGAATAATCCTTTATAAAAAATTAAATGAGGTTATTAAAGATGTTTTTTGACAAAAAGTACCTTGAATAATCCTCTAAAAAATGAGGGGATTATTCAAGGTATTTTCTAACAAAAAATGTCTTGAATAATAAAAAAAAAAAGGTAATTTTTCAAAACATTTTTGACCAAAAGCATTAATAATACTTTCATAAAAATTAGAGTGGATTATTTAAGACGTTTTTTACCATAAACGTCTTGAATAATCCTTTCTTTTCTTTTGGAATTATTCAATGGATTTTTGGTCAGAAAACACCTTGCATAATCTCTTAAAAATTTTTGAATGGAGTTGTTGAAGACGTTTCTAGCTAAAAATACTTTTAATAATCCTCTTTAATTTTTTTTAAGATTATTCATGACATTTTTGCCCAAAACAACCTTTAATAAAAATTGAAGGGGATTATTTAAGACGTTTTTTTTTTATAAAAAACGCCTTCAATAACCCCCAAAAATACCTTGAATAATCATCTCATAAAAATTGAAGAGGATTATTTAAGATGTTTTTGGTTAAAAATACCTTAAATAACCCCATTCAATTTTTGTAAGGGATTATTGAATGCATTTTTCATGTGAAACACTATATACAGACCAAATTTTTTCATGCCAAACGCTATATACAAATCAAATTTTTTACCAGTAAAAACTTACAACTGACTTATATTCATTTTCAGACATATTTTTCAAAATGATAACGGTTATTTCATAATTTTTTAATCAAATCAAATTTAAAACGAGCTTAAATAAGCTTGTTGGTGAACGTAAATGAACGAACAGACAATTATTAGTATTTGGTTCGTTTAATAAATGAACATACAAATGATGTTCAAGATCATTTGTTAAGCTTAATAAACAAACAAAAATTAAATATGTGCACAAATGGTTCATTGAAAGCTCTATTCGCTTACACTCTTATGCTCTGGGTTTGGAAATTTTTAGTTTTTTTTAGTTTGGGTTAAATGCAAATTTTTTTTCTTAAAATCTTTTCATTTCTTTTTTTTTAAGAATCATAATAAAAGAATCGAAAAAAAAACATGATTTTACCTAATTAGTTGTTTTTTATTTTTTTTATGTGTTATAACAATACATTAGATGTATTTTTTTTATCATTAAAATATAATTTTTATTATTATAAATCGATAATATTTAATTTTTTATTTATACAAATTAAAATATTTAATTTTAAATTAAATAACCACTTAAATATTTAATTTTGATTTGAGCATTTAACCATCAATCTTTTTTTCTACTCTTATTGATCAGCTAAATAGATACAATTTACATTTCATTTGGAATTTCCTCGGGTTAAAATTTTCCACGCATGGATGTTTCGGCCAAATTACTGACACTGTTGCCATAAATGTTGCTGTCACAATTTACAATTAAATTGAAAGAGACCATGGCCATGGCCCTTAATTTCTTATACTTATCCCAAAAACTTACTTTTCAGTTTCAATTACTTGTTCAATTCAGTAAGTCAAAGTTACAATCCGGATCAGACGTCTAGTTGTCTGAGCATCCATCAATTTGATTGGAAAAAAAAGGTAAAATGTCAGATACAAGTTGATTAGAGAAGACCATTTAAAAAAAAAAAAAAAACACTGATAAGGAATAAAATGAAAGAAAAAGGAGAAAATTCGAGGAAAACATGAGAGCTAAAATTAAAAATTGAAGTCCAATCTATTAAGCATTTTCTTCAAGTTTTCAATTTGAAAGTAATTTTTTACGAGGTACTCTCTCCTTCTCGTAAATAATGTCTTAATTTAACTTTTACGAGTCAATTTTTTAACCTGGATTTTATTTTATTTTAAATAAATTATTATATTACTAATTAAAATATGAGACAATATTTTTTTAAAATCTTGAAAAATGAAGTTTTTTAAATCTAATTTTATAAAAAAAATTAATTTAATAAAATATTTAAAGTACTAATGATTTGATTGTAAAAAAAATTCAGTCAGACATAACTCATGGACGAGGTAACAAAAATTAAAGTAATACTTCCTATAATGTTGTAATAAAGTGAGGCCAAGACATAAAGTTTGATGATTGAGACTTTGGGCCAGTGAGTAGGTGAGACAGTTGATTGCATATTCATTTAAATTGTCCTTGTGCATGACATTTTAGCATAGATCACTAAGATTTTTCCTTGAAAAGATGTTACGGTTGAAAATTTAATCCGTAAATAAATTTTGATTCGATTAAATTTCATAAGATTAAAATTTTTTTTTAAATTGAGCTTTGAATAGAATAAAATTAGATATTATTAAAAAAAAATTAAGTTCGAATGAATTTAAGTTTTAAGTAAATTTGATCTGATATTATATAAAAAATTAATTTTTAATATATATTTATATTTTAAAAATAATATTTTATTAATTTTGAGTCAAATTGAGTTAAATACGATTTATATAAATATTAAATCAAGTCGAATTTGAATATAAAAAAATAAAAAAAATTTTAAATCGAATTTAAATTCAAATTTTATGATTATAAAATTAAATCAAATTCAAAACGAACAAAAATTTATCTCGATCCGTATCAACCTTAATAACAATGAATGCTGATAAGCCTTTTTTTTCTTCTTTCAAGAATGAATGAAACATGTCAGACTTTTAACAGGCAATTGCTCCTAAATTTTTGCTGTTTTATTTACTGCAAGTCAAAGTTTAATATCCTACAAAATAATACAATTTTTTTTAAATTACTGTAAAACCAGAATAGATAGAACAAAATTTATAAACTGCCAAAGTATTTAGATGCAAATGATGTAATGCTTTGATAAACAATTGACAATTTTTCCGTAATAATCACTCGTTTTGTTTGAAACACACGTTTTGTTAATTTGCTCAAAATTCAACAAGATTAAGAACAAAGGCAAAGCGCAATTATAAAGACTTGGTTTTATTTCTTAAAGCAACCAGTAAAATTGGAAGCTGTACATTTCTTGACCCTCTGCCACCGCTTATTATTATTATTATTTTAGAATATTGGAACGTAAATTGGACGTAAAAGATGTTATGATTTGATTTTAGCAAGCAAATATCAAGTTCCGTTCACTTGGTATTTTAATTGAAGACATTTACCAGTTCAATGGAGAGTGGATTTGTAAGTTTCATCGTTCATTGAGAGAAGGAAATTTTTTTCAAATACTTGGAAAAACTGGGATGTGATATAAATATGAATGTTGAAATTTTATGATCCTCTCTTATTGGAGTAATTAATGTATGGGTGGAGAGTGTGGTTCTTTAAGAATTTAAAAATATGGAGTAATTTATTTTCTGCTTTTTATCATAACCAAAAAATTTTGAAGGTAAACCATTGCAAACAAGCAAGAAAATTAGACCATGCGACTGATACTGTATTTCTGGTTTTGGCCTAATTATCATCAGACAAGAGTTTCTTTACTTTTTTTTTTTTAACTGAAATTTATTTCCATTGGCTTTTGATTGGGTCAAGGTAAACGCTGTTAACATAAGACAATGTGAACTAATGTGTCCTTTTTTTTTTGCTTTTACATGAAGTAATTAAGTCTAAGCTAATTTTAAGACAAAGGGAGAAATCAACATCTTTTGGCAATATTTAATTAACCATGTGTCTAGTGATAATCGAGAAAGATTAAATGAAAAATGTGAAATTAACTATGTAAATAAATAAATATATATATATATATATATATATTTACTTCTTCCAGCTAGGATTTTTATTTCATACTACTTTTCAAATCTGTCATCCTATAAATAGTGATAGTGTGTATCTTCTTGTGGGCAAAGGAAACCGTAGGTGTTCGAGAGCTCCAAGATGAGGGGCCTTAGTACTACCAAACCCATTAATTTGATCGATGTCTGTCTCTTCATCAATATTTTGTTCGTACACGCGGTGGTGACTCAGACTCACCAGAACAGCACCACCCC